AGAAAACTGTACTACTGAATTGGCCTTGAACTATTTAGTGTGTGATCTACACTAAGGCATGTAGGTATTGAATATGTCTCATAGAATTTCTTAACACTAGTGACTCTTTTTAATATATATTTAATAATTTTTATTTTACTAATCTTTTTGGTAACAGTTCTTTTTCTATTACTCAATTCAAACTTTTCAAAAATTTTGTAACTGATCATTGTCTTGTGAGGCAAATGCTGGTTAGGAGCTCAGATCCCAGAGTCCAACAACTCTGTGTTCAAAATCATTTCATCAATTACTAGCTGTAAAAAATGGAGCAAGATTTCTTTATCCTTCTCTGTAAAATGGTGATAGCTATTTCCTATCTGACAAATTGCTATTTAGGCTAAAATATTTAAAAATGCAAAATACATCCCCTTTTCCTGAACTGACAACTACCATAAGCCTACCATAAACCTACTCAAACCTGAGTCATTTCACATCTTTCTTTCTTTTCTTCCTCTTACCTACCATTGTAAATCCTGTCAACTGCTGTTCCTTAACTCCCATCATCCACACTCAGTTCCCCATCTTAACCACTCATACATCCTCATCATCACCCCCCTGTCCTACTTTAATAATTTCCAAATTTGCCTTCCTCCACCTTTGCCCCTCTAATTCATTCTCCAGGAGAGTAACATTTTCAAAATATAAAATAAAACATGTCAGTAAAAAAAAAAAAAAAAAAACAAACAAAAAAGAAAAACTTAAACAAAATTAAAAAAAAAAACATTTGAAATAAGAAAAAGTACATAAGTGGTGCTATGCTTGTGGCTCAGTGGTAGAGCACTTGCCTAGCACGTGTGAGGCACTGGGTTTGATCCTCAGTACCACATATAAATTAATAAAATACAGATCCCTTTATAATTAAAAAGTATTTTTTTTAAAAAAAAAAGTACATAAGTAATGAGATTCTCAAACCTGTATCTCTACCAATTGTGAAAATTACAATGTAGTCGGATATAATTATGTTGACTCAAGTATCATGGATGACGTTCTCAATTGCATAATTTTCCAAAATGATGATCAGCACTTGGTAAAGTTCCAGACATTAACAGGGCAATTATTAATTGGGTTATTACATTGTTAGAAAAAATTAATGTATATTTAAACTGAAAAATCATCTGTTTACATATAAAATTAAGTCAAATTTAAATTCAGATAATTGTAAATAAATTTTTATCTACATGAGTATACAGCATGATAGTATATGTGCAAGGATAATTCCTTATTGTACAGAAATGTCCCTTCATTGTAGGATATGAAATGCCAACAACATTTTCATCATTTTAATTAAAAAATACCCTCCTTTGAAGTAAAAAAAAAAAAAAGCATGTCAGTAAACAGTGTGGGACCTTGTGGATAGGGTCCTCCACTACTTCTAGAACATAATACACTCCGTAGTAAAGTCCCTAAAGAGGTCATCTGACTTTCAGTACCTTTCCAGTTTCAGGGACTGTTTTCTTCCATTCCATCTCCAAACCCCCTTCAGTCATACTTAACTGTCTGCTGGTTTCAAAACTTACTGAGCCATTTCACAGTTCCACACCTGTCTTCAAGTTTATCTCAAAATTTTCTGTAATTCAGCCCAAGACATGTTCTTTGTGAATTATTTCCCTACCTTCTTTGTCTTCTCCTCTCTACCGAAGGCAGGATTGACTTCTCTCACTTCTGTTCCCACTGTACCCTAGACAAATGTATGTCTGTATGGTAGCACCTGACATCTTTGTGTGTGTATTCCGTGATGTTGAACTCTAAGGACTGTATCATCTTTAACAAAGAGTCTGGTAGCCATATCTTGGAATCATCTAAAATCTGACTTCTTAAGAAATTTTATTATCCTGGGAAAAGCCATTAATACTACTGTTCTAAAATGCTGATTTCAAAATCAGAGTTGAAAAGGTCCTCCTACAACCTCTCCAGGAGGTCATCATATTAAATGGAATAAGCCAGGCACAGAAAGACAAATAGTGCATGATATTACTCAAGTGTGCAATATAAAAAATGTTCATCTCATAGAAGTTGAGAGTGCAATGGTGGTCACCAGGGCCTGAGGAGAGTAGAAGATGAAGTGGGGAAAGGCTGATCAGTGGGTGCTAAGCTACAGTGAAATAGTGTGAAGAAGCTCTGGTGTGAAGCATTGCAGAGTCGGGTGACTATAGATAACAATCATGTACTTCGTATTTCAAAAAGCTAGTAGAAAGAATTCTGATATTTTTATTATAAAAATGATAAATGTTTCAGGAGATATATTTAATCTGATTTAAATATTACACAAAGCATACATATATTGAAACATCACATGGTACCCCATAAGCATGAACAATTTTTTATATTTTTGTGTCGGTCAAAAAACGCATTTTTAAAAATAAAGTTAAAAAAATTCTGCCAATATACATTCTACTGTCATGTATAACTAAAAATATTGTTTTAAAAAAAGTACATCTATTTTCTACTGATCATTCTAAGTCATTTTTGAGAAACAAATGACCTGGATTTCTGTTGTAAAATAAGATTATGATACCCTTGAAATACTTTCAAGTCATTAACTGGAAAGACTTGTCACCAATGCTTGCAGCAACCATATGATATCAGTAGACATAAACCATTCTTCGTAGGCTCAAGAGGCTGAGGCATGAAGATCTGAAGTTCAAAGCCAGCCTCAGCAACAACCAGATACTAAACAACTCAGTGAGACCCAGTCTCTAAATAAAATACAAAATAGGGGTGGGGAGGTGGCTCAGTGATTGAGTGCCCCTGAGTTCAATCCCCCCCCAAGAAAAAAAAAGAAACCCCCAAAATTGGCAAATTAGTATCTAGAAACAAGGTTTCAATGACTGTGTTTCTGATCATAGATATGATTGATAGTGCTAGCCCATGAGAGAATACTCTTAATAAGGAAGACCAACATAAAGCAACCAATTATAATCAAGTGTTAGGACAAAGATTGGAAGGAGAACACTTTATGAGAACTATCTTCTGTTCTTATATCACATGCTGCATTCAGATAGAAATGAAGACTTTTTAAATGAGCTTTTGCAACAGGCACAGGTGCTTGTCCACACTGGGAATAACCATTGACAGAGCTACATGTAAAAGTATCTGGAGATGTTGTCTAGAACGTTAGATAAATTAATAAAAGTATTAACTAGCGTGATTGAATCCACTTTTTTTGTAAGGGCTATCTATCACTTTTGCTTTTCTATATAACTAACAAACATAATTTATGCAACTGTGGGAGTTGTATCTGCCAGGGCTGTACCCAAGGACAGGAAAGGGAGAACAGGGCTAGCCAGTTAGGCTGAAGGGCCTGATGGCATTCTGGTCTTGCCTACATTTCTCTTCTAAAACCTTTTCTGAATTATTTTCTGCATTTCACTACCTTTTTTCTTTTTAGTATCTGCAGAATGTCCTTAGATTTTGTGAACTTGTTGAAATTTCATTTTTGTCACAATATGGCTAGAATAAGTTCTGGAAAATGGAAACAATTCAATTTATTAAGCTGAAGTTAGTGCCTCTTTCTTTTAGTGTAAGAATTTCTCTTCTACGGTCTGAACCTTAAATTTCCTTTCGGGCAGAAAAGGTATGCTAGAGATTGTCTAGATGTCTAAGACCACTAATTATTTATCCTACTTATGGCTACCATCATTTGGAAGTTTTTCCTACAAAGCTATTGGAAACCTAACATTGTTTAGGCCAAGTTCTTTGAAGGCGTTCACACATAGGTTCTTACAGTTATGAAAATTCTACAAGAAATTGAAAAGACGTATTTATAGAATGAAATTTTGGTTTAACAACTTCATGTTTCCCAAACTGTGGTTTGTAGACATATTCTTGTGTGTCCATAATAATCATTAAGAAAAAAGATGTGTATCATCAAATTGGGAATATTTATATATGGTACCCCTGCTCCAAAAGGGGGAAACCTTGAGAGGGACCCTCTGTGCGTTTCAGCCCTTTTCTTTCTCTCCCTTCTGATATTACTGGAGACAAAATGAAAGCCAGACCCTCTCTGCCAGAAAAAAATGTGTATCTCACAGATTCGGGAACCAAAAACTTCAGGCATGGAACCACAGACGTCACACTAAAGGACACAGGTTTCCCAATCTAAAACAAAAGACTGAGTATTTCTTCTGGGCCCGTGAGCCAATAATCGTCTTCTCAGCAAGATGAGGTATGTCTGAGATATGTATGCTACCATGAATTTCAGCCTGCTCCCCTCTATGAAAGCATTTCCCCAAGTGTGAGCTGTGGAATTATGGTACAGGAAGATATTCCATTTGGAAAGTAATATATCATAGTCTACACATTAGATTAAGCCATATAAAATAGTCCTTAATTCAAAAAAACAATATTCAAAAGTATTAATTAAAGTAATGCCTAAAACTATTTTCTTCTCCCCTTAAACACTTTTCTGCCCATAATCGGATGAACAGATCTGAACTTATATTGTTGGCAACAAATATAGCAGCAATTACAGTCAAAAAACCAAACTGTTGAAGAAAATTAATCGTTTACTTTGAATGAATCAGACACTACAACAGCTTCCATAATTATGTCTGACAGTACCAAATCATGTCTGAGATAAAACACTGCATGACACATAATCAAACAAATAATTTGCAAGAGTCATGGGAGGGGAGAGAACAAATGATCCCCAGCACTCTTGTACGTCATGGGAGCACATGACAAAGGGTGTTAAAGAGGTACAATAGGCTACTGGTACCGAGACCATTTTAGACCATCTTATCACTGGAATACTACAGAACACCATCGTCTATTTATCACATAGTAAGGATTCTATGCTGATAGGATTTGTTTGTATTTGTTCTATTTTATTATTATTTGACTAACATCCTCTGTTAGAAACAATATTTAGCCCATCTAGCCTCAATATAGAAAGCTTTTACCACATGAACAAAATCAACTTGTTCTGTTTGAAGGACAGAGTAATTTGATTAACTACAAAGTACTATAATGCAAAGTTTATTCCCATTTCATCAATCTAATATAAGCAGAAATGAAATGTAGTCAACAAGTAAAATATGCACAACAACCAGGCTTTTTTATACTAGACTTCAAATGTGTGTACATACAGATAGATATCATACATATAATGGTATACATATAATTTCGCAGAATATCCAGAGCATTCAACATTTTTCTTCATTGTCGATTTTTATTAAGTGTTTTACCATTTGATAAACAAATTTATACCTCATTTCCAGGATACTAAGTAATTGTACATGTCTAACCCAGTAATAACAATTTAGGTACCTAGTGCACAAGATCAAAAATAAGATGTCGTTGCTGGTAGTAGCTCAAAACAAGTACTTTGGTCCAATAGATAACATTATGAAAATGTTTTCAACTTTAATTTCAACTACAGTACAGAAAATGTTTTGTTTTTTTCTAGAACATAATTCATATAATCCATATCCATAAGATATTTTTGACATTCATGATGTATTTTTCATATCCTAATTTGCATCCATATACATTCCAGATCAGACTAGGTGAAGAGTGAAAACAGACAGTAGAATATTTGCAATTTATCTGAAGAACACAAATGTGTAGGTTTTTTTTTTACACTGAATATGTAAAATTATGAATAACGCAGCATTATCTGACAAGAATTCTCACAAATAACTACTTTTAAATTTCCCAGCTTGCATTCTACCAAATTATTTTTCATATTTAGACCTCACAGCTTATCAACACTGACAAATATGCAATGTCAAAATAAATCTTTTATAAACACATTGTATGAACACATAAATAATTCTATAAAATATTAATTTATCTTTTTGCCTCTTATTTAAAGTCTGTAATACTATATGAACTTACTTTCCCTATACTTATGGAAGCATATGACTACAGATTTTTGAAAAATTCTAAAAACCCTGAGTACATAAGGATAGTGTCCTAAGTAAACAATCTTCTCAAGCCTTCCTTAGGTGCATTAGATTAACAGATTAGGAAAGAGTGAAAAGTAGACATGCTTTTTAAGGATTTTTTTCTCTTTTGCTCATATTCCCTGACTTGAAGCATCCAGTTGAGAGGGACTGCCATTTCTGTAACAGAAGCCAATAAAGGGAAATTGTGTAAAAGAACTAAAGACATTAAAATTAGTCTTAAAATTTGTCTTAAATTTATAAATTGATAAAATCAAATAGAAATTCCAGCCATTATTATTGAAAGGAAATAAATAAAAATGACATTATGTCTGAGATGCTCCCTCAACAGTATCATTGCCATTTTAAGAAATCCTCCTTAAACATGCTAACATTTTTAGTGCCTGAAGATTTTAATATCACCTCTTTATAATTATTACATACCTTAAAATTCCAGTGAATTGGAACTCAGAATTCTACTCATTTCTTGCTCACCAAAATGACATTAGTTTTTTAAAATATATGTCTTCACCAGCTCTAACCAAGCTACAGAAAGTAGGACAGGAAGAAGTAGGTGTGTGTGTAGAGGGTAAAAATCACAACGTGGATGGGAAAAGTGAGAGAATGAGAAAACGAGCTATACTCCTCATTGCCCCCAAACAAGACTTCCATACAGACAACCTGCTGGGGCTTATGATTCACCTCACTCCCATGTCCCTTTAGTATTGATAACTTATGGTTATCACTACACAGACACATGGCAATTTGACACAACCACACAAAATATTGCTTTTATAAAATGTACTGTTGTGGTTTACATGTTTGTCCCCTCCAAAGCTCACATTGAAATTGCCATTATGGGAATGTTAAGAGGTGGGACTTTTAAGAGTTCTTAGCCTAAGAGGGTGTGCTCCACTTTCTGAATAAGATTGATGATGTTATAGATCAGCTTGTTTCTGCCACATGCTTATGTAGCAGTAAAACCCTGGCTAGTTGTGAGCACCTTGATATGTTTCCCAGGCTCTGTAAATGTGAGCCAATACACTCCAGCTCATTGTAAATTACCCAATCTGGGGTATTCGGTTACAGCAGCACAGAATGAAGTAAGATATGTCCTGTGGCTAAGTTCTAAAACTCCCTTACTATTTCTAGTAAGTTACTATGGGCCCATCTTTTCTAGAAAAGAAAGGAAGGGAAGAAATAGTTATTCTTCTTAATTAAAAAAAAAAAAAATTAGCTTAGGCAGCCATTTTACAATTGGAGTCTTCATGCTGCTCTAACAAAATCCAAACTCTGGGTAGTTTATAAGCAATAGAAATTCAGTTTTCAGTTCTGGAGGCAGGGAGGCCAACATGAAGATATCAGCCTCTTTGGTGTCTGGTGAGGCCTGCTCTGCTTCCAAGGTGGTGTCTCGTTGCCCCATCCTTGCCAGGGAAGAACATGGGGTCCTCACACAGTGGGAGAAATGGAAGAGCACAAGAGAACTAAGGCAGCCCTCAATCCTCCAGCCTTTTGTAAGGCACTATTCCACTAATGAATGAAGCCTTCATGATACAATCGCATCCCCAAAGGTCTCATCTCTTAACACTGCTACGATGGGCATTAAGCTTAAACACATGCATTTTGGGAGGAAAACAATAAAATCATAGTAGTTGGATTCCTCTTTTTAAACTCCAAAGACAAATGTAGTTGACAAAAGAGGACCAAGGATACAAATCCCCCCACCCACTGTGGTTTAACTTCTTTTTTTTTTTTGCTGCCATAAACCCCACATCTCTACTACTAGCCAAACAGAACTCAATGAAGTTCCAGAATGAATGGGCACGAAGTTGAAGAAATTTAATTTATCCTGAAATATTTGCAGACTAACAACAAATTCAGGAGATAAAGTATAAGAATGTTATCTTTAACAAACTATTCAGGTATTTCTAGGCACCTCAAAGTTGCAAAAGCCCTGAATCAACTACAGGAAGAAAGGCATATTGGGCCTAAGTGGCTAAAGGTACCAAACTAAATGAAAACATGGGTTAATCTCATTTATTTCTATAACCAGACATTATCTACCAACCAGAAAAAGGCAAGGTCATAAATTAAAAAGCGAACTTCTAAAGAGAAGCTGCAAAAACATTTTAAGAAGGAAAAATGAGGAAAATACAAATAGGATCAAGTCCAAGTATACCAAGGTGGCACTTCTCAACTTGTGTACTAAAAAATCCTGCAGAGTGAGAGGTGGGATAAGTGGCTTTCAGATCACTCCCATGTGCCACACAAATATATACACATATTTTCTAAGTATGTTAAGGAATGAAAATACTGTGAAGTATCAATTTAATGAAAGTGCTAGCCTGAGGGAAAAAACCTAGGTTCAACTTCTTGCTATCTCAGTAGCTAAATGACCTTAAATTACTGAGCCTTTTGAAACCCTTAGTAAAGCTCATTTATTAAATGAGAAATAGTTTAGACTAATTTAGCTCTAAAATTCCATCATTTCCCATACATATACACTTGATGTAAAGTAACAGCCACACTTATTTAATTAAAAACTCTCAACTCCTTCAGTCATTCAATAAATATTTATCAAGCACCTAATCTGTGCCAGGTATGTGAAAATCTGGGAAAACATGGAAGACATAATTCCTAAATACGTCTTAATGTGAAAGTGGTTAAATAGTAAATGCTTCTAAATAGAAATCTGCATGTATAATGAAAGCTTACCTATACATAATTAATAAATATTAACTTTAGTTATAGTCAGAGCTTCTGCCAGGATGATTTTCCTCCTCTATATACTCAATTGCTTTTAAAAAATTATTTATGTAAACAATTACTGCTAAACTGCATTTAAAATCAAAATCAATTCCAAAAGTATAAGTTTATAAAAATAGTTTATTTTTAAAGACTCTCAATAGGACTTCAACATCTTATTTTCAGATTACACCAAAAAAGGCAACTGAATGTTCAGTATATTTTAATTCATGATGGAATCTGTTCCATATCGAAGACTATATATATATATATATATATATATATATATATATATAGTCTATTAGGTGGGGGAAAGCATGATTCAAAGTTTTAATTAAATATTACATAATTGGATTTCACCCCAAATATTTAAGCTGAAATTTTCAAATGAATACAATTTCACAAGTTACAAATATATATATCAACTTACAACTGAAACATTTAGTATTTTTACAGTGTTTTTAAAAATCTAGTTCCATAATCACTTTCTTTTCCTTAAAAAAAAATCCTTAGCATATGAGAAGTTTACATTTCGCTGGAAATGCATACATGCACCTAATAGTAAGATCCAAAATGAGAAGAATTACTATCTCCAGGAGTGGGTGGAGGAGGTAGTGGTGGAGGAGGGGGAGGCGGGGGCAAGGAGTATGGTAAGTTAAGCATTGGATGAGGTGCCATGTTAGGTGCAGCCCAACCCATGTTTATAGATGGAGGTGGTGGAGGAAGTGGAAAGTTATGCATGTCAAACACAGGCGGAGGAAAGGGGTATTGTGGCATAATAGGATTATCTTGTCTTTGAGGTGGAAATCCCAAAGTTTCTTGAGATACCATATGTTCTGAATTATAAAACTGCTGAGCTGGAGGCCTGCTGTGGCAAGATCGAGGGTATCTACCCCTAGAAAATCCTCGTGTGAATTCCCTGTTGCGATATCCTTTTGAATGTTCTGAAGAAGGACTATAAGCATTCCAATTCTGATGAACTTCAGCAAAATCTTCACCTTTGAGTGGGGAAAAAAAATATATACATAAAACCAAAATTAAAATACCAAAAAGCACTGTTCGAAATTTTAATAATGCCTTTTTTTAAATTACCAAAATATGGCAGTTAAAACAATGTTAAATTTGAAGTTGTCAATTTTAAATAAATTGAAAAAGTAAAACTTAAAGCCCAAGGATTGCAACAAAGCAAGATAGAAAACACTGAAGACAGTGACTCCAGCCAAACACCACAGAAACATCCACAGCACCATCCCACTTACACTCTCAAAGGTGAGCAGACAGCCCAGACTTCTACCTTGACCACCTGTAATGAAACACCCAATCATCCTGCCAGGACAGTGTCAGGGTCAGAGTGAGCATGGCCCTAGTAACAAAACCTCCTCAGAGTGATGGTGGAGAGCACACAGAGCCAAAACTTCCACCTCCACCAGCAGCAGCACTGTGTTCTTCCCTTTGTGCAATGAGGTGGTGTAGGAGAAGACTCAGCAGAGTCAGGACATTCACTCAGCCCAGTGGGAAAAGGTTATCCTTTACTGATGTCAGTGACAACATAACTCCTACTCCTACCAGGCACTGGAGAAGATCTAGTGGGGTGTCAGAACTTCACCCCTGTCTTACAGTAATGAGGCACCCCTTTCTACTTGAGTGTCAACAAAGGCTAAGAGGAAAACCTAGGCTCTGCTCTACTTCCTTTCCCTACTAGAACAGTATCTGAAAAACAGACAAATGTGAGCTAAATCATACGATTTACATAAGATCCAAGTCTCATAAATACCCAGTATACCCAAGCTTTAATAAAACATTATTAACTCACCATAAAAAAAAGGAAAATTTCAAACTCAAGAAAAAAGGAAAAACCAGCCAGAGCAAAACAAAGATATTAGAATTAAGAAAGATAATGCCTTCACAGAAATGCTTCAGCAAGAAATGTTATGCACACCTTTAAAAAATGAAAATAAGAAAATCTCAGATAAAAAATAGAATAGAAATTTTAGATATGAACATTATAATAATCAAAATAAATAAAAGTGAACAACATTGAAGGAGAAGAACAATACTATAGGATTAACACTACCCAACTTCAAGAGTTACTATGAAACTACAATAGACACAACAATGTGCTTTGGAGAAAGAACAAACAGATCAATGAGACAAAAGAGAGAGCCCAGAAATAGACCTATACAAATATTTAAAGTATATAAATTTACATACTCAGCTAATATTTGACAAAAGGTACTTTAATGGCACAAAGGCGATTTTCAACAAATGGTGTTGAAACAACTAGACATCTGTGAATGAAATAGAATCTGTGAAAGAAAGAAAAGACAGAAACCTTAACCCTTCATAAGATTTAATTCAACATGTATCACAGACCTAAATGTAAAAAATCACTGATAAGCTGAATTTCATTACAATTAAATTTTTCTGCTCTCTGAAAGACAATATCAAGAAAATGATGTTAAAAAAACAACTTATAGACACAGATGATTTTAAGAAAACTATTATTAAAAATAGACAAAGAATTCTTACAACTCAACAATAAGAATCTGATTAAAAAATAGGCAAAAGACCTTAACAGACACCAGACACCTAACCAAAGAAGACATATAGTTGGCAAATAAACATATGAAAAGACGCTGTTATACATCAACAGAGAAGTGCAAATTAAAACAATGAGATACCACTACACACTTATTAGAATTGTCAAAATCCACAGCACTGAGAACATCAAATGTTGGCAAGGTTATGGAGTAACAGGAACTCCTATCCACTGCTGACAGGAAAGCAAAATGGTACAGTCACTATGGAAGACAGTTTGTAAGTTTTTCTCCTAACTAAGCTTACTTTTGACATATGGTACAGCAATCTTGTTTCTTGGTATTTACTCAAATTAGTTGAAAACATATCCATCCACACACAAACAACAAAAAAAACTTGCACATGAATGTGTCTTTATTCACAAATCAATTTTATAATGAACCTAATACTGATATGTAAAAAAAAGAAAGTCTTAAAAAATTGATGGATGAGTTCAAAAACAGAATACAGGAAACAAGGAAATGTCAGAGAACTTGAAGATAGAAAAGTGGGAAATACTCAAGAAAATCAACTGGAAAAACGTATTAGGGTTGTGTTCTGAAAACTACAAAATTCTAATGAAAAGAAATCAAACACCATCTAAATAAACAAAACTGTGTACCATGTTCATGGAATGTCAGCGGAGCTTGGATGACAATTCTTTCAAAATTAATCAATACCTTTACTGCAATTGCTATCACAATTCCAGCAAGATTTTTTGTATATACAGAGAAGATTATTTTAAAATTTGTAAGGATAGGCAAATGACCTAGAATAGCTAAAAATTATTTTAAAAAAGAGAAAGAAAGTAGGAGGTGTCACTTTGCCAATTTCAAGACTTAGTATTAAGTACAATAATAAAGACTGTGGTATAGATACATAACAATGGAACAGAACAGAGAAGCCAGAAACAGATCAACACAATATAGCCAAATAATTTCTGATGAACCTCAAAAGGAATTCACTGGAGTAATCATAGCTTTTCAACAAATAGTGAAGAAACAATTTGACATCTATAAGCAAAAGAATCAACATCAATCAAATCACTTATCCTATTCAAAATTTAACTCAAAATGGATCATGAATATAAAATGTGAAGCAGAAGACTACAAAACTTTAGAGAAAAAAAGAAAAAAATCTTTACTATGATTAGGCAGGAAGTTATTAGACTTCATAAAATGAAAGCTGATAAATTTGGCTTTCATAAAACTAAAAACTTTTGTTCTGTAAAAGACCCTTTTAAGAGGATGAAATGACAAGCTACAAACTGAAAAAATATATATATAAAGTACATATTTGCCCAAGGACTCAAATACAAAAATTTATTTTTAAAAACTTCAAATAATTCAAAAGGAAAATAACAGAAATACAATTAGAAAATAGAGAAAAACATGAATTAACATTACCACCAAAGAGGGTAAATAGTTAAAAATGACCACATGAAAAGATGGTCAATGTTATTAGCCATTAGGAAAGTGCAAATTAAAACCACAATTAAAGATCACTTACACCTAAAATTAAAAATGACAACACTAAATGTTGGTGAGAATGCAGAGAAGCTGAGTCACCAGTGTTACTACTGATGACAATATAAAATAGTACCACCAAACAAAAAAAAAAAGGGCATGACAGTTTATGAAACTAAGCATGTAATGCAACTATCATATAACTTAGCAATTACATTTTTGTGTATATGACCCAGAAGAATGGAAATTTATTTTCACACAAAAATCTATATACAAATATTTATAGCAGCTTTGTCCAAATGAACAAAAAATGCAAACAACTCAGATATCCTCTAATAGATGAATGTTTAAACAACCTGTGGTGTAGTCCCAACATGGAATAGTACTCTTCAATGAAAAGGAAAAATCTATTAAGTGTATCTATAATAATAAATATAACAACCTGGGTGGATGCCAAGAAAATTACAGTCACTGGCAAAATCAAATCCCTAATTTTAACATGCTATATAGCTCCATTTATATAACATTCTTCACATGACACTGTATTTTAGAGAAATGAATAACAGATAAGTGGTATGAGCTGAGGAAGCAAGATAGCAGGAAATGGATATGACTATAAAAAGGAAACCTAGGGAGCTTGCTGGTGATGGAAATGTTATGTATGTTGACTGCATGAATGTCAAAAATCCTGGCTGTGATATTGTACTACCAAATTTTACAAGATGTCACAACTGGAGGAAACTGGGTAAAAGGTATGCAGCATGTCTCCTATTATTTCTTATATCACAAAAAGTTTAATTTTAAAAAGCTATCACTAACTATTCTCTTGTGACTCTCACCCACCCATATCCCATGTTGCACGATTTCTCCAATAGTTCCTGGATGCCAGAAAGTAACACAGAACATAGAAATGTCTTTCAGCTTTATTACTGATAAACCTATATAGATCTAAATGAATGTAAATAAAGACTACATATTATATTCACTCACCTGGCTCATTAAATTCAGATTTGAGTTTTTTCCGGCCTTGAATCTGAGATTTTTTTCTCTGTTTGGCTTCTTTTTCTTTTTCATCATCACTGAAGTCTAAGGCCTTGCAGATGAAAGTAGATTTACATCACACAGATTTGTCAATTCATACTTAGAGACTTAGAACAAACCTGCAAGACCTATTATTTACCAACTGACCTTGACAAGTTTCTCCTTTCAGTACTTAATATTTTCCAGTAATATCTCAACTAACTAGAAATCTTAAAATATCAAGTTTCTTTGTTTTTGACAATTGCCTAAAGACTTCATTAATGCAGGCCATTAATCAAGCTGTTAAACCATCAATCAAGGTTTATTAATTCCTAGAAAGTTTTGGGTAGGTAACTTTACATCATCAGGTATGGGCACTGCCTGGCCAGAAGTCTGACCTCCAGCTTACACTTAAGATTGATCATAATGCCAGTTGCCAAAGGATGCCAAAATAATGATTGATTAGTTAAGACTAAGCAAATTTCACACACCATCAGATCCAATATAAAAATAAGACATTGCTTTGTGACTCATTTATTTAAAAACATTACTATAACCATTATATGCCAGTCTCATTCTACACTCTTAACAGGTTTCAGTAAAGCCAATAAATATAAAATAAGACAAAGTAAGGGCATAAAGAATCATAGGGACGTTATGTAGATCCACTCCCACCAGAAGCAGCACTGTGTTCTTTCCCTTCCCTGGCTTTCAAAACCAGACACAGAACTACAGGATCTAAATTCTAAGAGGAAATTATTTCAAATTACTAGTGTAAAATTCACATTTTACGGGGAATTGGAATTCACCATTCTACACCTGTCAGAAAATCAAGATTTATGTCATGATATCTTTAGTTCAGATATATTGTTTTTCTACTACCACTAGAAAACATATTACCTTTCACATGTAGGCGTATGTGCACACTTAAAAGGAAGAAATATAATATATGTAAATGTCTCTGTATGGCATTTTCAGTATGCTCTTGCTGAAATAATATATTTTCCAGATAAAATCCTCCATGAACCACTAAGACCATATACCTACCATTATCATTTTCAAACACATCAACTAAATTTTAGTACCTTCAAATATAAGATACTTTTTTTTTTTATTACTGATCTTAATGTATTAAGATTTTTAAACTCAGGTTGAATCTGGCAACCACCAGACACCAGAAAGTACTGAGATCAGATGGAAGACGTTTATTTCTTTGAAACTATTTAGTCAAATGAGAAAACAAATAAACCAGCAATACAATGAGTAAGTATTATGGGGTTGGATAAAGAGGAAAAAAAGGAAGAAAGCCTTCTTGGTAAAAATAACCCAAGATAAACATCTCATGAGTTAGCTGTGAAAATAAGGGAAAGGAAATCTTCTGGAAGTGGGAATGATATGTGCAGAGGCACTGAAGTATATGGTGTGCAAAAAAAAAGTCAAAAGGATTCTGTAAAGCAAAGTGAAAGCTTCTTATACAGCAAAATCAAAGAGACAAGGTTGGAGAAGTTAATAAGAATATTATTGTGCCATTTTAAATACCCATGCATCATCTCAAAGCAAGAGGGAAGAAATAAAGAATTTTAATTTGAAATAGTTTATTTTAGAGAGATTACGTTGGCAAAATTTTGCTAAGATTTACTTTTCCTTGTTTTCAAATTTGCATTCATTAAACATTTATTCAGTTATAAATTTCATATGTTTATGTTAGAAATGGATATAAAATAAGATGTATTCCTGAGTGATTTTTAGGACCTTAATGCATCTCCAACATTTTCATAGTACATTATTTCTCAAATTTTCTTTTATATGTTAAAGCTTCCTATTTTCAGGGCACATAATTTATTTTAGGCCTCACAAATTCTAATCAACCATCAATATCAGGCAATAATTCGGAACTACAAAATGTCATCAACAAATATTACAAAATCCAATCCCAACACAGTTCATGATCCAGTCTGCCACCTGGAAAAAATAAACATCATGAAGCACGTGGGATTTCATTTTGTCATTAATCTTTTATGAAACCAATTTCATAAACACTTTACATTATCACAATTAGTAACTTCCATGTTTAGTCTGGAAATAATAGGCATGTATTAGAATATCTGAATTTCACAGGAGATATATTTCAAGATCTGATTCAATCTCCAAAACACTTCTGAAACAGAATTTGAGAAATAAAATGCTCTAAACCTACCAGAGAATGTTAAGTGAGTGTACAGAGCATTACATGTGTACATGTTAACTAGAAAACATAATCTCATTTCAATGTGGATAATAAGCTAAGATCCCTCCCTGGTCAAGTGACTCATACCTGTATAAAATTCTCTATGTGGGTATAAAACTACCTCAACAAAATTAGAAGTTAATACACACCATGAGCTTGGCATTGCTTGAGAATATCTAAAATGATTAGCTGAATCTGCAAATACCAAAAATCAATAATACTGAAAAAAATTTTTCAGAACTAAGTACAAGAGAATCTGCTTTAACATCTCCATGGAGAGTTAAACCAAATAATTCTACTAAATAATTAATTCATTTACATATTACCCCCAAATTAATTTCACATCTCTAAACAGACTAGATTATCAACCCATCGTTCCATGCCTTGTTGGAATAGATATAAAAATATAAATCAAGGAGATCTTGTTTCAGAAAGGTAATTATGCTATAAAAAATGGGGAGGTAGGTAAGTCTCTAATGATTTTATATGAAGGGTGCATATTATGAAAAGCTTCACAATAATGTTTTCATGTTCCATTTGAAGAATTTACTAAAACAATTAAAAATTTACTAAAAATAAAAAGTTTAAAAATAAGATAAAATAATGCCTTTACGAGTTACCAACAAAGTTAATACAACAGGAAACACAAGGTAAATGAGGGGATTATTTTTCAAAACTGTATTAGACTTAAGTCATGCCTACTTTATAAAACATTCAGAAAGAAGCTTAATACTTACATCTGGTGGTGGTTCCTGATCATTCTTCCATGATGCATCTGATCCCCTATCCCTGAAAAAAGAATTTTAATAAACAAATTTAAAAAGTACTTATCAAAAATATGCTGTTAACAGTGTTTACATAACATTAATAGTATGGAAAATAAAGAAGATGAGTGCAACTGGCAATTTTGCAATACATAAAAATAGCAAAAAACAAAAGACCATTTATGTGTCCTTTACCTTATTTCAGATGATATGAGAATGTCATAAGAAAACCACAAAATTTGGACCCATTTAAGTATTAGAATTAGGGAATTAAGAAGAGAAACCAAGATTGTGGTGTGCAGATAAACATGGTTTTACTTTTGTGATACCTGAAGTTTGCATAAACTCTGTTCAGGAAATGTTTGTTCAACATCAATTACAAATCAGAAGTCACTCAAGCAGCTACAGATGCAAAGATATGAAGTGTTCCCTTTTCCGGGATTTTACAGATCTGATGCCAGAGCTATTGATATAAATCCTTCTCTCCTCATTCTGACTGTAAGTAGCCCAGACTTATTTCAACAATTATTAAGTGGCCCAGACTTATTTCAACAGGGATTCTCAAAGCACGGAAAGTGAAAGAAAGACTAATTTGGGGAGGATGAGAAGAAACACTGAAAATTCAGAAGGACAGAATAATCAGAGGTGTATGTGGAAGGAGTAAACGGAGCTGAAACTTAATTACTCCTGGTGGAAATGTTTCACATTCTATAAAAACCAAGAAAAGTACATATAATGAATATGATTATAATTTCTTAAACCTCACTTTTAAATCTTACCTTTTTAATCTTATTAATTTCATGACTTCAAGCAATATAGTTATTCAAATGCACTAAAATATTATAAAGTACTGTGACTGGATGTTCTTTCTCATTGCTTTAAACTAGATAATAAGTAAGGGTCTCAGGAATTAATGCCACTAAAATCAATGCACAGATGTCAGTATGGTGGCACAAAATGAACATCAAGTTTGCTTTAAATATTTGACTTGGATCTTTGACATTATATATGATGTATTTTTTTATCAGTTACATAAGGTACTTATTTATTCAATTGTCATTTTACAATCTGTGCATTTAACACAGCTCCAATATTCCTTTTGGAATATATGACATCTCATGACCTGAAATGGCTTAGCCTCGAGTTCAAATATGTAATTGGGAAAAATTCCCCAACTAGTACATCTACCACAGGAAATCAAAAAGCCACTAAAGGAAAAATCAGACAACATTTCTGAAAGCACTTTTAACAGACAGTATATGGAAAGCTAAAATTAAATTAGCCTTGCTAGGCTGGTAAGTTAAGTAGTGCACAGAGTTCCCATGAGAGACACCAGAGTGCACCATCAATGGGGTTTATGCAGGACGATCTAATTCCCAATTCTATAGTTTATTCCTATTTAATAAACATTTTCAGAAAACATTCCAACTACCTGTGTTAAGCTAAAATATTTATTGTTAAAGGCTAAAAATATCGTATAAACACAGCAGCATCTTGATATCCATAGCAGATGGAAATGTTAATTATTTAAAGCATTATTTTAAAACATATTAAAACCTTTATGACTTAATGTCTATTTAATTCATCTTTCCTGCTAGCAGTTATTTAGGGAAATTAACCTTACACAATCTGAAGAGATTGAACAAAATTATCTTTCAGATAATTATGATCTTCTTAAACATGAGTTTAATCAATTAAAGACTAAAAATTTCACCTCTGAAATAACTAAAGAAATTCAGTGACTTAATTTAACTTGGAAGTGGAATAGAGACCTTAAGCTTTGCAGCATAGACTAATACTTTGGAGGAAGACCCAAGGTTACCCACTGACGAAATTTCCTTGAAAAACTACATCTAAAAATACATAGCCTGTATTTCAAATTTCCTATAACAGGAGAGCTAAAACTTAAACAAATCTGTGTCAAAGTGCAAAGTCTTTTTGGATTTAAGACCCCCTCTGCCTCCCTCTTCTGTGGTCTTCTTCCATTCCTAATTTGACTATATTTTTGTAGTTAATTACAGCTTTATTTTTATAGAAAAACCTATCCTATTTGAACTCATATACCATGTTTAGATAAAAAATTAAATTATGGGCTGGGCTTGGTGGCACATGCTGTAATCATAGACACGTAGGGGAAGCTGAGGCAGGAGGATTTCAATTTGACATGGGCCTGGGCAACTTAGTGAGATCTTTTCTCAAAATAAAAATTAAAATAGGCTGGGCACAGTGGGAACCCCCTGAAGTTCAATCCTTAGTACCACCCCCCTTCCAAAAAAAAAGAGAAAGTAAAAGAAGAGATTAAATTATATAATTATCATAGTATGTTCTACTGATTTAAATCAGCTGTACAGCTAACACTTGCCAACACAATACTTGAAAAATAGACAATAAACCAGAAAGAGTACAATTAGGCAGAAATTTTGTGACTCACATACTACAGGGATCATTCTGCATATATAGAGACAAAATGGAGGGCACTAATTTGTTGGAGAGGTCAACCTTTTTATGACAGCTTTACATTCAACTTCTCAGTGACATATTTTAATTGTCTCTCTCCATAAATTTACAAATTATAAGCAATCTAAAATTTAGTCACTTTTTTTCTTGGTGAATATTTTAGTTTTATTAAATAGTTAACTCTATGAATGTAAACCAAACAGAATTTTATTTAAAATCTAAAGGAACATTTTAAAATCAAAATACCAATGTTGAAGTAGTTACATACAGAACATAATGAAAAAAACAATGAACTAGAATTCATAAAATTTACACAATACAAATGTTCTCCCAGTGCATAAAATTTACACGATACAAATGTTCTCCCAGTGGGCTATCATTACATCTGGAACAAAAGATGCAAATGATTTCTACTTATAAAATGTGATAACAAATCGTAGAATTATTCTTAAATGTTAGATAAATAAAGAACTAATATGTCAATAAAGTACTTACTGTTTTAGTTTTTCTGTGAATATATATTGGGTGAAGTCTTTCATTGATGGAGCAAAATACATAGTCTCCCTTATTTTAATACCTTTACTTTCAATGTGATCTGAAGAATTAAACCGTAACACATAAAACGGATGTGCAACAGGTCCAAATATTTCAAATATCTACAAAATAGAAGAAGCATAAAGGTCCGTTTTAACATGGAAAATGATTTGAAATTTTAGCAATATTTCTTTTGAAAAACGCCACTTGTAGCTGCTAAAAAAAGATAATTTTGCCAATGTCAGAGCAATGAACTTATCCTTGTCCTGTTTATATACTCAGTCTTCATATTTTGATTATAAATGCAGCTTATCCCAAATTTCCTTATAAAAATTTTTTCTAAGCTTGTTTCTTAACAAATTAAAATCATTATAGTGGTTGCCTTATAGATGCAAATTATGAAATTTAAAAAGTATTGTCCATTTAAGTTGTAAGGTACAAATATTATAACTGGTAACTTTTGAATTTAAGATGCTATCTGCAGTTGTACTTTTATAACTGGGAAACTAAAGTAAGCTTCTGCAGATCAACTCTTCTGTTTCCATAGAGTGTTAAACATTTTAAAAAATTAAACCATGACTTTTTAAAAAGCAGTTACGTATATAATTTTAATGGCTATATAGCACAATTTATTAATTTGTCTCTTTACTGTATATTCAGGCAGCTTCCAAGTTGTCCAATAGAAGACATGATGCCATGATGGACGTCTTCATATGTACATCTCTAATTTTGAAAACTTCTAAAAACTGATTTGGAAGAAGCTGAATTATCAGAACCAAATACGATAATTATTAAAGCTATTGATGTAAATTACTAAATCCTTGGACAATTTATACCAACTGGAAAGTGTCTATTTTATCAAATCTTTGATTTTGATATTAAGTGTTCTCATTTTGTGATACACAGTATAGTAGTCCAGCTTTTGTTCATTTTCACTAAGGCATAAAACATCTAACACAGCAAGGTACACCATTCTGAAGGTTATTATACCCTAAAAACAAGTAGTAGCATTAAAAGCAATTAAAATGCCAATGTATTCTGAATTAACATCAATAATTTAGAACTGATAAAAAATTTTAAAAGTAAAACAAATGATCTAATAAAACAACAAAAAATCATCCTTGAGAGGTTTATATAAACACAACAGACGTCTAGCTGACACAGTGGCACATGCCTATCTATAAAAAAAATTATGTCAACAGGGTTACAAAGTCTAGTTTGAACTAAAATGTAAATGACATTCAAATTCTTACACAATGAAGTGCTTATGAGCCACAACTATAGTGGAATCATCATAAAGTTTTTAAGTGAAATAATACCACATTCAAGAGGAAACAGAAAGTTGAGCTGTGAAATTGATATGTGGCATGCACCAATATTGACCTGTACCCCTACCTCAAACAGTCACAGGAAATTTGGCCAAGTCTACTTAAGCAATTTAGCAAACAGTTATTTAAAAAAAAAGAATTTGATAATATTTTAAGTAACTGTCAACTGCAAAATATAGATATATCTGATTGCTAAATTATGAGGAGAAACTTTAAACACAGCAGAGCTCAGGCCAGCCCATGTTTTCTCATACAATTCTACAATGAGTAATTTTTATCCCTCCTTGGTAACTTTGGGAACTTTGTAATTTCCAAAAAACTTAACTTGAAATAAAAGCAAAACAAATAAAAGACTGCAAGGAGAGTGTGAAAAGAAAAATTTAGGATAGTAACAATGGAGACATTTACTTTGAGGTGGTTGAGCAGCTTTATACCTTAATCAATAGTACATATTCTGTAGCAGAAGTGCTCATACAATGGATTTCTGTCACACAGAAGTTAACATATACCACTACCACAACATGGTACAGATATAACATGGAATCTGTTGGGAAAAAACTGAGGAACACAGTATTAATGAAGTGTATGCAGTCCCTCAAATTCTCATTCCACAGGATAGGCTGGGCTTAAGACATTTTGTATACAGCATGGCCAAAGTCCCAGCAAGTGTATGTGCTGGGCCTGCCTGAGCCAGCAGACTGACAGGCACAGAAAACACTCTAGTAGGGAGAATGAGCACCACCCTATTCTCCGTCTCTACAAACACACCATGTCACACACATAAAAGTCAGTCTAAGAGGGACTAGTAAGTCACAGATTCTCTAACAAGAAATACATCCAGGAATCTCCAGGACCAGGAATAGCACTGGAAGACTGTGCATGTAGAAGGCCAAGCCTTCTAAAATGCTGCTGGCCTGTTCTACTGAGCCAATTTTTTACTACACTACGAGAAGGTGAATGCAAGTGAGGAAAATTAATCTCCATACCCTTTCAGGATTGTCTTATATCAATCATTTTGTGATTTTTTTAACGCCCCATTAACAAAAATGAAAGAATATAGACAGGCAAGGTATCCCAAGTCACTGGTCAAATCAAGTGATTACTTCAATCACTGTGTGTATCCTATCACAAGTTAACATGAAGTATCCATGAGAACTGAAGGAGGCAAAAAAACAACACTGCATCCATATAACATGGAGACCTTCAGGAACCCATCATATCCTACCTACAAAGACTGTCAATATAAACTGATCTTTAAAAAAAAAAAAAAAATCAGTAAAAGTTCCTTAGCCAACGATATTTGAGAGGGAAATAGATCCCAATATTTACCAAAGAGAATCAATCATTACGGGAATCAAAGGGCAAATCTAGAAATAGTAATCTGAGATTATCCTCCTGACATTAGTGGGGATGGCAGTGGGAGGTGGGAAGGAAATGAAACTGAGTTCTAAGGCCAATTTTGCTCAATTTTATCAAGTTTTCTCTCAGTTTTAAAATGTACTGAAGGAAAAAATATCCTTGCTTCTGAACTGCAGTGCAATGGGATGGATTAATTCTGATAATTCCATGTGATTTTTTTGGTAAATACCCAAAAGGTCTGGTTAAGAAATATTTCAATGATCAGGGAACTTGATAATTATCAAAATACAAAATTCTTCTGGGAACAAAAAAGATTCCAGACAAGCTAAATGCAAAAAATAAATATTTATGATGTGGGTGTCAGTGAATTTTAAAAAGATAAAGAAGCTGGGTATAGTGGCACATGCCTGTAATCCTAGGGACTTGGGAGGATGAGTCAGGAGAATCTCAGATTTAAGGCGAGTCTGGGCAAGTTAGTGAGACCCTGTCTCAAAATAAAAAAATAAGGAGGGCTGGGGATGGGTTCAGTGATAGAGCACCTGCCTAGTATGCACAAGGTTATGGGTTCAATCTCCAATACAGGATGGGGGTGGGCTACAAAGAACATAAAATATCACTGTGGCTGATTATTTTTGTTGTTAAGGAAGAGCAGAGGACAAAGAAAGCATGAGCAATGGCTCATGTTATGTATCTAGATAAGATAGCTAACAAGCTTAAAGCACATCCATTTCATATCTTGGTCACTGGTTTGTTTTATATTCTAACCCTTCCTATCACCACCACTACTTTGGGGAATCATTTCTAGGTGCTCAGATTTATAATGAATATTTTTTAATGATTTGTCATTTCTCAAATTTACAAAGCTTCCTGGGTATATTTAAAGATAAACTGAATTTTTGCTTGAAGCCTTATGCCATCTAAGTAAAGTTAGTGACCTATTATATTTTTATACTGCTCCTTTCAAAGACAAATGACACAAGCTGATTATTATTAATCACACTTAAAGGTCTGAAAATTCAAATATATCCGGGATATAAAATGTCAGTTTAGAGGGTTTAACTAGCAAAGTGTTTGGGTATTTTGAAATTAAAATTAGCTAGTAAGAGAGAAAGGCAACCATCATGAATATCATAATAAAAGAAATTAAGAAGTGCTCAGCTTCAATAATGTCCTATTCAGAAAATTAAGAACTATGTTTCCCTTGCCTCTTCTCCCCTCTTTTTACAGCTCTTCTTTCCCCTTTTCCTCCTCTCTAGAGCAGAAAGAAAACTTTGATTTTTGCCAGGGAAGAAAATAGGTTTCTCCTATAAAAGGGGACCAATGGGCATGAACAGCCTTTCCCATCATGATCATCTACTCATTTCCCATTCCTTTTCTCTCTCAACCCACCCAGAGGTCAGTCTATCTCCAATCTTTTACAAAGGCATTGGCAGTTAGCAGAGTTTGTACTATATACTTCAATACTTCTTTCAAAATTTGAAAATTCTGAGACCCACTTTCAAAAATAAAAAGCCACACTACCATCCTTTAGACACTAACAAGTCCTCTTTCCCCTCACAAACTTTCTCAAAAAATGCCAAAAATATTAGTTCCTCACTCCAATTAATTCTTCTACCAACTGCTTTGCAATTGAGTGACTCACTACTTTGGTTAACTGGCCAGTCAACCTAAAAAATACATTTAGGTGGTGAAAGGCAGCAGGACACTGATAAAAACCTGACCACTTTCTAAGTTGTGTTAGAATGAACAACAGAAAAAGTTACTGAAAACAAAAAGGCTGTGTAAGTTAAAACTTAAAATATTTGGGTTTTCTTGATTTAAAGTACATTAAGTATAACTCCTGGAACAAAAAAAAAAAAAAAGAAAAGAAGAAGCCAATTATTGCTCATTTGGGAAACCCCAATAAGTTATTTCACCAGAAAAACAGCTGGTTACTTATCCCCCTTCCTCCCAAGTCAATACACATTTACTTATTAGAACATAAACTTAGAAAGAACTATTTATATTCATTGAAATATTGAGGTGAATAAAAAACTCTGTCCCTATTGTCACATAAAAAATGAACACTTGGTTAGTACTTATACTTTTCTTCCCGGTGCTGGGAACTGATCTCAGGGGTACATTCCCAGCCATTCTATAATTTTGAAACAGGATTTCAGTAAGTTAGTGAGGCTAGCAATGAACTTTGGATGCTCCTGCCTCGGCTTTCTGGACCACTGGGATTATAAGCATGTGCCACTATGCCTGATAGTACTTACATGCTTGATTTTATTAGATTTTATGTCTTATGCTTATTGTCAAAATTGCCTATGTGCTTAGTGAAGTATGTGGTTTTTCACATTAAGGGTGAACATGCAGGTTGTTCTACTACTTAGATGTTAAAAGGCCTGGGCGTGATGGCACATGCCTGTAATCCTAGTGACTAGGAGGCCGAGATGGGAAGATCCCAAGTCAAGACCAGCCTCAGCAACTTAGAAAGGCCCTAAGCAACTTAGTTGGAACTTGTCTCAGAATAAAAAATAAAAAGAGCTGGGAACATACTTCATTGGTAAAATGCCCTGGGTTACATATTCAGTTCAAAAAAAAGAAAAATGTTAAAAGGGACTGAACCTTATGGTGGTATTGAAAATACACATATTCATAGTTCCCTAGAGGGTACTTACAGTGACACTTCACTGCTGTCCCTGAAATCTTTTCCACTTGAAACAGACTCTGCTCTTGGCTTCTACCTGAGAAGGCCAACATCTAAAAACTGAGTCACAAACTCACTGGGACTCACAAACCAAAAATGATTGAGAACTAGTACCCTAAGGAAAGTCTTCCTCACTCAGCTCTGCAAACTAGGAGGGCAGGGAACTGTGTCTTATTCAGTATGTATACCTAAAGCCTAGCAAAGTACCTGGTAAGAATGCTATGTGTGTGTATTCTGTGACTCATGGAGCAAAGATAGCAGTATGAAACCAATTTACAGATTTATAAAGGACTGAAGGAAATCAAGAATATATTAAATATGAGAGCTCTAGATTGCTCATCTACTAAAATTAATACTCTTCTTAGCACCAATAGGGGAAGTAAAAAAAAAAAAAAAAGACACACAATAATTTGTAGGATTTGAATTTTACAAACCTTTCCTGCTGCTTGTCGATCACTTTTAAAAATTACAGTCTCCTCATTAACTGGAGGTAGGTTATTCATAGACTCAATTATTACTGAAAAACATAAAAAAAAATTATTTCAAGATTTAATCCAAAGATAATGTAGAATTTTGGTGAGAATTTATGCTTTAATTACAACATAATTTAAAATAAAACTTAAGGTGGGGTAACATACACCTTAGCAACTATTTCTCTTCAGTAAACAAAATATAATCACATAACACAGGCAGCTAACCTGTGATATTTAACACAAAAACTTATAATTCCAAAAAGAAAAATATAAAATATAATAGAAAATTCGAATCACTCATTAAGAAGTCAAAAAATCCAAGAGTAAATTTTGTCAATTTTTGCCAAAAATAGTAAAATCACATGTAGTTACAGAAGAAATCAGGTTTCTCACTCTGGAATTATTTCCTACAAAGCATTGATTATTTACTGATAAATAAAAATAAAAATGTTAAATTAAGTGCTTAACAAAACATTTTCCCCTGAACAGATGAAAAAAGGGCAAAAAGTTCACAGTAATTTATATCATTACATTTAAGTTCCCTTATCAAAAAAAAGCATTATCCCATTGGCCTATTCTTACTTGTTGCTCTAATCTTAAATATTTGTCTCATGTTTATTTTTCTTTTTGTGGTTGTATGTCAGTTATTTAACATTTTTGACAGTGACACTTCTCTGCTTCTATCTAGATGGATAATATCTAATTAGCCCCTATTTTTAAAATTCAAACAGAAAAACCCAGCATGGCTTTTAGAACTACACCGTACAATGTCAAATCCTTTCTTTTCATCTAAGGTCTTACTTGAATTCATAGATTAATTTTGCCTAATGTATTAATAGTTTTCCTTTTTTTAATTTGGTCAAAATTATGTTAGATATGTTAGGCTTTCAAAACAGGTTGATATACAATAATAGCATGTGTTGATTTTGATTTATTCACTCCTTATTACCCAGTAAAGTTGAAAATTTTATTAGTATATTTCACTTGTGTTGGTCACAATACATTTACAAAGCATTATTCCATGCACATCATACAGTTGATTTTTCCTTGAGGATCAACGCTATGACCTATAATTTGTCTGCAAACATTAAAACTAATAAATGCTCAGCTGATACTATAAGAAATTAATTATCTATTTGATTTATCTATATATATTATTAAGAACCACAAGGTAAACTTAAAAACTAGTACATGTGATGGCGTGGGAACAATGAATAGAGTTTTAGTAACCCAAATTTTGATTAATAAATTGAAAACTATAAAATTAATTTTTAAAAACACTGACTGATACGGACACTGTCAGAAAGGTCAAAAGATGGAGTCCTATTTCAACCAATGACTTAAGACAACTGATCTTAAAAGAGTATAAGTGACTTGAATATTTCTGTGTTTCTTAGATTCTCTAAACTAAGAGGGTTCTTGGGCAATTTACTACCTTCTCACAATTCAAAAATTCTATGATTTCATTAGCGCTGCATTCTACTCTCAGGTGTGTTTCATCATGGAAATTAATGGTACCCACATGAACCTCAAGACTCTTACACGCCTTCCTTACATCTTTGAGCCAAACATAACTAAACTATCCCATTCTATTCATATTTCATGTCATAAATATCCACTTTTTTTTAAAGAGAGTGAGAGTGAGTGAGTGAGAGAGAGAGAGAGAGAGAGAGAGAGAATTTTTTAATATTTATTTTTTAGTTTTCGGAGGACACAACATCTTTGTTTGTATATGGTGCTGAGGATCGAACCCGGGCCGCACGCATGCCAGCGCGCTACCGCTTGAGCCACATCCCCAGCCCCATAAATATCCATTTTAAATCAAAGAATTTCAAATTTACATGTTTGTGAGATAAAAATTTGAGGTACTAGAAAGAATGGCTCCCCAAAAGATATCCCCATGTTCCAATTTCTGAACTTAGAAATATGCTCCTTAAATTTAAAACAGAGACTTTGCAGATGTCATTAAATTTAAGGACCTTGCGATGGGGGTAGAATGCCAGGGATTACAAAGGTAGGCCCAATCCAAAGAGTCCTTAAAAGAAGATAACCTTCCTGGGGTGTGGTCAGAAAAAGAGGTAATGATGGAAGAAGGGTCAAAAAAAGATGCTACATTAATTACTTTAAGCATGATGGAAGATAGCCCATGGGCTAAGAAATGTGGCCTGCATTAGTCCAAAAGAAACAAAGAAATGGATTCTCCCCAAGAGCCTACAGAAAGCAGCTCAGTCCTGCTGGACAATTTGATTTTAGCCCATTAAGACTCAAAGTCTCATAACAGATGTGTGGTCATGAGTGGTCTACAAGAACTGTAAGATAATAAATCTGAGCCGGGCATGGCAGCACACACTTGTAATTCCAGCTATTCTAGAGGCGAAGGCAGGAGGATAGCAAGTTTGAGACCAGCCTCAACAACTTAGCAAGACCCTGCTCAAAATAAAAGAATAAAAAGAACTGAATGTAGCTCAGTGGTAGAGTCTGTGGAGCAAGCTTGGGGACCCCGAGTTCAACCCCCAGTTCTTTGAAAAACATATATAATTAATAACAATAAAAAATTTATACTGTTGTAAGTCACTACATTTGTAGCAATGTTAGAATGGCAATATAAAACTAATAGAGGAAATTCTGAAGAGAGTATGTCAGTAAATGCAGACTTTTAATTTTTATAGAAAAAATGTACTTCTCTATCATTTAAGTAAAAACTGAATTTTATACCTCAAACTTAATATTATAAAATAATTATAAACACAAAAGTTTATTAGTTACAAAGCCCTTGATTTAATTATTAGTATATGCTTGTGGACACAAGTAATTTTGTTAATAAAATTACTTACATACCTAATTGTTCAATTATACTTGAAACCATCCCAAGAGGTTTTAATTCAATATCTTCAGGCAGAATAATAGTGAGTTCTTCAACAGAAGGCAGCTCCTATAATAATATTTAAAGAGAGCATTAATCTTACTCCAACTTCAACAACTTAAACATTTTCCATTTAAAATGTTATACACATTTCTGAAGATGTAACATTAAGCACTTAAAACATCCTTATTGTGTTATCCTTTTTACTGGCTGCATGGACTTCTGATAGCACTTCTCCCATTTAAGTGACAAAAGTATCTCCACAGGTCTACAATATACTCTCTACATCCAATCCAGTTACAGTATAGAAATAAATATTCCAGACTTTCTCCAATCACATTTCAACAAGAGACACACAAACAAAGCCATTATCATTAAGGACCCCCGAGACATTCCATTAGAAGAGAAATAACTCTACTAGCAACTATAATTGCCCCCAAAGAGTTCTCTTTGAGTTGTCTTATCAACTTGATTAATTAACCTCATGGTGACTAACCAGCAGACTATACAGCAATCTTTTCTGGGGCTGTATGGAGAAGAGGTGAACATCTGGCCTCTTCAGGAAAAGAGCAATGAAAACTGTCAGGCAAACACAGAATTCCTGGAAACAGAATGTAGCCTGAGAAAGCTGTGAAGGTGTTACCTGGTATTTTCTCTAAATTACAAAATAAATTTCTTATTTTTAAAAAATAAAATAAATTTGAAAAATTTCTCTTCTTTGATCAGCTAAAAACTACAAAAATTCAGTTGCTAACTGAATAGAGATGAAGTTGAAGAGAAATCTACGAATAAAACTGATATTAGCCATTAAATTAAAAAAACAGAGCTTTTTGGTCTTGACCCTTGCCAAATTATATTAACTCTTGGAAGGAAGTTGTTCCTAAAGAAGTCTTATTTGTTCGTTTTTTTGGGTATCAGGGATTGAACTCAGAGACACTCAACCACTGAGCCACATCCCCAGCCCTGTTTGATATTTTATTTTGAGATAAGGGTACAAAATGAACTAAATATTGTACAAAAAACACTTCAGAGACAAGTAAATAAAACCAGCTTTGTACAATTTCAAGTTGCAAGTTTGCCTTTGAAAGTCCTAGTAAGTCAAGTAGTATGTATTTGCTTTGAAAATGGCAGATATTTGGGGAACTGAATTAAAGGAAAACAGATCTATTTGTTTACTATAAATGAGCATGCTAGGAGAGGAGAAGTAAAGAAAAATATTCCAAATTCCATCAATAGGAATTCAATCAAGAGTATACTTTCATGGAGATTTTTGGCAGATCCAAACATATAAAGCTTTAGAAGATGCAGAGGGTTCAGATCTCTCTGCAATATTCGCTTGGATTACCACATCAGATAATGTGTCAATGCCTGGATGCTATTTGTCACCATCTCTTTCCTAGCTTTTAAATTTAAAATAACTGGACTACCTCCAAGCCTAGTTACTATTTACCAAATTATCCTGCTGCTTTTCTTCTATCAAAATATCTTATTGTTTAACATTTCATTTGTTTACATACTTATTGTCCATTTTCCTAACTAGACAATAAATTCAACAATAACTAGGACCCAGTCAGTCATACTTGTTGCAATAGCACCAGAAAGATAATTGGCACATAGTAGTAGGTGTTCCATATACATCTATTAAATGAACTGACTGACCTCATCAGACTAAGCTAATAAATTTCAGAAGTCAGTCTTTTTTAGACAGAGAAACCAGAAAATAGAAATATAATTCAATGCAGACTTTTCAAGGAATGAAAAAAAAGACCTAAACCCTACCTTTTCAAAAATAAAATTAAAAAGGCAGATCTTCCAAGGAAGATAAACTACCTAGAATGTATGCATAGATACCTCTGGTTTGCAGTAGCAAACATTACTATAATTATTAGATTAACACGTGGCTCCCTGATAACACAGCAGCTTTCCCTGGTACAATGTCAAGTAAATCTCTCAGCCATATAATCTCCTTTAATGGAAATAAAACTCAATCACTTTGCTTTTCCATGTGTCAGAAAGGAAGGTGTACAAGTGACAGAGAAGAGAAAAAATTTGCCAGAACACATTCTGAGGGGCACTATCATTTTGACATTGCAGAGATGATGAGGGAACCCTGGGATAGAAAGACCTTCATTATTTAATAAGCAAAAAACCAAGTATGCTCAAAATGAGAGATAAGAAAGCTATCTCCCTAATGAAGGTTAGGGAGATTAAAGTATTTACCCAGATTACTCTACTAGCCTTGTGAAAAGAAGAATAAATGGGTGGAAAAGTCCCCTTTTATTTTACATATACAATTCTAGACACTTAACTACATTTGTAAATTTAATTAATTAAAATTCAGTCTCCAGTCATACTTGCCACATTTGAAGTGCTCAACAGCGCTAGTATTAATATAATAGAACATGGACATAAAACATTTCCATCTCTGCAGAAAGATCTATTAGCACTGCTACACACTCTCACACATCAAGAATCCTTCATTACAAAACATGTAGCAAAGTATCAACAGCATCAATATATTTCCTGCCATTAATACAGGTATAATTTTAAGATAACACTATAACAGCATGTATCCTAAGTCTTAATGCTAATCTAAATACTCCATTTGGGAAATAAAGATTTGTGATAAATCTGCATTATCATCTTGTTTTTGAAAATTAAAATACAACTAAACACTTGTCTTAGATGTACATTATCTGCAATTAGAATAAATGTTAATACTATCATTTAAAATTAGTATTATAAGTTGTTTACTGCTCAATGTCAAAGAACAGCAAAAATTTTTTTCTGGACATAATCATCCACTACTTTTACATGTAATAACAAAAAGTAGTCATGGAAAGGAAGAAAAATATTCCATTGACATTGTCAACAAAAAGAAAAGAAACATGGAAATAAAAATTGCCAGACATAACACATCACTTGGTAACTGAAATACCAAAATTATACATACTAAAGAAATTCATTTATTTCCTACACAGTCCAAATCAAAAGGTATTTTAAGAGGCAATCTAATCCACGCAAATAAAATTTAAGAAAGCTGACATTAGATGATAAATGCATCCTTTATCTTGACAAAATATGCTACATTATTGTTATTCAAAAACTAAATAATCAGAAAGTTCAAGCGAACAGAATCCAATGTTGGTATAAACATTGCTACTAAAACCATGGAAATCTTAAGTATCATTCCCTATGAATCTGCTCCTCCCAACTGCTGGGTCCTCAGGCAAGTGACTTAATTTCTGATACCAGTCTTCTTATCCAAAAATAATGAAGAAATTCAGTAAAAGTTCTACATAGTACAAACGCTGATACAATTTTTAAAATGTTGAAGTGCAGGAATAGAAAAGACAGTACAATTAATAAAGAAATTATATACCAGACTTGAACAAAATAATTACTATAATCCTGTGATAAGACACCATAACTATGGCAGCCAAAAAAAAAAAAAAAGCAAGATCTTAAACCACACTTTTGAAACATACATGAAAGCAATCATTGTCTGTGTCGTAAGAATATTATTAAATTCTCATTCTCTAAATATTTGTATGAGCTACAAGGTTACTCTGTGAAGTAAAATATTCAAATAAGTAGTACACAACATTAAAAATCCATCCTATTGAAAAGTAAATTATAGACATGCCAGTCAAAAATGAGTGTCTAAAACTTCCAGCATAAAAATGGAAGGAGCTATTATGTACAAAAAAGCCCTCTGAGAAAATGACATTCATGCTTTATAATTTGGCCTTGACTTCCCTAGCTCTTCTGAAGGCTTACCAATTGGGCAGGGGTGGGGGGTGGGAATCAGTAATTTGGGTATCTTCTAAAGCAAAATTATCTAAAGAACATGAATTTGGATTTTTACTCATGAAAGCAGAATAAGGGCAGCACAGGGTGGTGTGTAAAGGAATCAAATATTCGAAATGGAAACTAATTCTTTTTGGTATTCATTTGGGAGGAATTGAGAAAAGTGGGGAAGATAGAATAAAATTATTTGACCACTTTTTCTCCTATTACCCAAGAATAGAGGACACGCACATGGCAGCCAATTACCTGATGCTACTGGGTGAGCCTTCACTTTTCAGATATGGTTGGAAAGTAGGATCCCATCCCTGGAGTATTGAGAGCCATGATTGGATTTTTTTCCCTATAGCTGGTAAGACATATTGGAAAAAAGAATGGATTAGGTCTGTATACTTTGTGCAAAGTCTGACCACATTTAATATTTAATTTCTAACTAATCAACTTTTCCAGGGAAGAGTAATTTTACAAGTTTCCATGGATTGCAGCTATTTCTGTAGCTATCACCAACAGCATTAATTTTGCCCTCATTTATTACCCTATTGTTTCTGACACTAACTGTAAGCTGGTCCATTAAATATTATCACCTAAAAAATTAAAATCAACAATTCTCTGAAATGTCTTTATATTTTTCATTTAATGATTATAATGTTTCCACCCTGTTCTTCTCCAAAATTACAGTCATAGAAACAAAGTTTATAAAAATATCTTCAAAAAGCTGAAATAAAATTATAGTCCATTTCAATAAGAAAAAAAAGATCCAACTGTAAATGTAACTCAAAGTCTACCTTTTATGTTAAGTGAGGAGTCTATATTTCATGAACTGCAAAATTCCATAGTCCAAATTTCTTAAAAAGGTGAAAGGTGAAAAAAGTGCTTGTTTAGAACTAAAAATATTAATTGTATGGATAATAAATGAATGAACAATAAACATTCCCTGGCTCCTACAATGTTAAATGACATTGAGAATAAAACTGTCATGTGACACACTTGTTCTTTTCCTTTTAAGTCCACATGCTCTTCATTGTCACCTTCCCAACCAGAGCCATCTTTCAATCTCCCTCATATCTTCCTTAATCACTGCAGTGCAAATCATCTCCCCTTCCACTCGATCCTATGGCTTCTTCCATCCTTCTGACATTCTGCATTAACTCTGATGTTACTTTTCTCTCAGCCTAATTATGTAGGCTCACCCTCCAGCTACATTCTCTTTTAATTTACATTTGTCTTTATCCAGTACAGCAGTCAGGAGAACTCACTTATTA